AAACTTATATCACCCACACTGTTTAGTCCCTTAGCAGTCCCCCCCAAAAAGAAATCCAAGTCCCTCTAAAAATGCGTGTGAAGGAGACATCTTGTTATAGATCTCTACAGATCATCCTCCCCTTCAAGAACTCCCTCACACCATAATGACATCGTCTCTTGATGAAGTCGTCTCATCCAACAATCCATATTTTCTCCCTTTTTATGTACAATCACTTTTGCATTAATAAATTTAGCCAACAGCTGGAACACTTGATTCTGTGCAATAACGTAATCGATCGTCATCGAATCAATTCCATTATTCCTGTTACGCATTCTCTCCAAACATCCATGAACATCATCTTCTAAAACAATAATCGTCTTTATTCTTCTAAATAATTGCCAGAACGCATCTGGCAAGTCCGAGAGCATACCTTCTGTTTGTCGCAAGGTTATCCTTCCTTCCATCATAGTGAAAATCAAGACCACATACCCGGCACAGACGTGGGTGATCGGGGACGATCACTCTCACTGGCCCTACACCCGTTACGTCCCACTGCCTTATTTTTAAATTTACTTTTTTACAAACCCCGGAACCACCCCACAATCTACATGCCATACCCAAGGAAGAGCACTGAGAGCATAGGCCCGGCCGCCACACTAAACCCTAAACCCTAAACCCTAAACCCTAAAGCCAAAAACTTAATGCCTAGACCCTAAACTTCGATGCCCAAATCTTAATGCCTAAAACTTGATGCCTAAAACCTAAAAGGAGTGCTTGTCTGTCCTAACCCCCAAACCCTAAAGCCAAAAACTTGATGCCTAGACCCTAAACTTTGATGCCCAAATCTTAATGCCTAAAACTTGATGCCTAAAACCTAAAAGGAGTGCTTGTCTGTGATCAACTCAAACTCATACTAACCCATGATTCTTGAGCAAAGTTCACCGGTGGCCATTGGCCGGCGGTGGGTGGTCTCCAGTCGTGGTCGCCAGCGGTTGGCAGCAGTCGTGGTCGCCAGTCGGTTGGCAGTGGTTGTCGGCAATGGTAGGTGGTCGGTGGTCGAAGACAAG